AAGTATTTTAAACTGTATAAAAAAAATTGAAATCAATTGTGAAAATCCATTCCTTATATAGGACGTTCTCTCCTGTTGCCGTAACACATACCAATTGCGTGCATCAAACTGGCGAAATATTACTTAAGGAGAGATCGGTCCATATTAAGATCTCAAGCTTTTTATTATATTTCTAAGCGAAAATTATACCTAAAGAATTACATACAAGGAAGGGAAGATTAATTCAAAATGAGCTCCCGATTGAAAAAGCCCCATTGATGCTAAATGTCACGCGACTGAGATTGGTATTTTATTATTAATACGAATGTGCATTCGTGTAACGTAAATATTAATTTTGAATAGAGTACCTTCCAAGTTTTCCTTCTATAAAAAAACTTTTTTTTTTATTCAAATACATTTTATATTTATTAACTTTAAAAAAAATAAAAAATATACAATGTTAGACTATAATATTATTACTTGTACGAATAAACCTACCGAAGATGACGATGGTAATTTCCAAGGTTGGTTATTAACAATATTGTCTGGAGTTGCCTGTTGTATTGGTGGTAGGTTAAGTATTCAGTTTGCTTTTTTATTATTAATTTATTCTTTTTATAAATAAAATAAAATAATTTATAATCAAACGTTGATAAGAAAAAATTTTATTTTTCTATTTTTCTTTTCTTTAGCTTCTGTCGTTTTTTCAGACATAATATTTCAAAGGTTTTTATCTGCACGGTATATGCAAATCACTAATAATAAATTTTTTTTGGTTGCTTCTTTATCACTTGGATCTGGCGTGATGGTAAATTATTTATTTATTATTGATTCCAATATTTTATATTTTTGATTTTATTAAATTATTATTTTTTGATTTTTTTGGGGAAAAGTTATTTACAAGTTTACACACGTTATTTCAAGAATCTGAAAAAAGTTTTAAAAAAGCAAAAGTTTACCGAGAATATTCAGGATTGTTCTTGATAGTATTCTATTTTCTTGGAGTTACCGGTTCAGCAATAATCAATAAAATAATTCATATCTTTGTAAATGAAGATAGCTTTATACATTCTCACGGACATCAACATACTCAACATACTCACCACAACCATCGACAACGCCACCACAACCAGCAAGATCATACTATTGTAAAAAATAAAAAAATTAATAGCCCTCTTATTTATAAGAATGAAGAAATTGATAATGATGATGAAATATTACATGAAGGTTCTCCACTATTAAAAAACAAAAATATTACATATTATGCCAATGCAAAGGATTGTAATGATATTAAACATTTAAAAAATAGTGATGGTTGCGACGAATCAAATTGTTCCAACAAACATTGTGTTTGTATCGTCGAAAGTGATACAGACGACACAGTTAATGCAAATAGGAATCATAATCATGATCATGATGATGATGACGATGATGAGGACGATGATGATTACGATGATGATGATAAAGATGAACGTCGACATCATCACCATCATCATCACCATCTTCCTCCTCGTAATGAAAATTCAAAAGATGAAAAAGAAAAATCTCAATTAATGCATATAGGTATTCAAACAGCCTTAGCTATATCCATACATAAATTTCCAGGTAAATATATTATTATAAAAGAATAAAAGTTTCTAATATAATTTAAAGTTTTTTAATTGATGTCATGTATTATATGTATTATGTAGAGGGTCTTGTAACGTTTATAACATCAAAAGTATCACCAACCATTGGTTTTACATTATTTTTTGCCATCGCTTTACATAACATTTCCGAGGGTTTCACCATAGCCTTGCCACTATATATGGCAACACGCTCACGGATTAAAAGTTTTTTATATGCATCTTTGTTGGGTGGATTAAGTCAACCTTTAGGTGCATTAATTGGATATTTATTTTTAAAAGAATCCCAGCTTAGATGTTGGGATCATAACTTTGTTTACGGTACTTTGTTTGCTGCTGTTAGCGGGTTAATGAGTGTTATTTGCGTACAGGTTAGTAAGCAAAAAAAAAAGGATAATATATTTTATTTTATTCAAGAGAGAAAATTTATTAATATTTCCTATATAATATTAGGGTTTATTACCACAAGCAATAAAAAATGACACTTCAAATGGCCATACTGTAACCATATTCTTTTTTATTGGTGTATTAATTATGGGAATAAGTTCTGCTTTATTTGATCATGCAAAGTATGTTCCTGAGTGATCATAATATTCAAATTTATATATATATTTATATATTTCTTTGTAATATAATAAAATTCAAAATTGGTATTTAAAAAATATTTTTTATTTTTTATCTTTAATTTTTTCTTTCTATTTGATTATATAGATGTTTTTTTTCAATGTAAATCATTTTGCAAAAAATAAAAAATAAAAAATCATTAACTCTTTTTATGATATGTTTATCAAAGATGTCTTGCTTCACGTTCGGATTCTAAAAAGACATAAAACATCATTTTCACGAACAGGTCCTTTGACATTACGGATGATAGAACGATTGTATCGTCCATATATTCCAAGTTACCTCTTGAATCGGTATGATCAACTTTAACAACTTTGGCGAGCTTGACTTGTTGTTTAGCATCCTTTTTAGTGAAAATTTTTTAATTGAATGACTAAATTCAACAATAAATAATAACAATAATGATAATATATGATAATAGCATTGGTAGTAAACAGTAATTTGATTGATGGATGGATTGATAAAGTTAAAGATGGAAAATTTTTTTTTTGTTTTACGCTGCGTAAATTTTTTAATGATCGCGTCTTAAAAAGATAAAAATCATGTTCACAGTCAAACCTTTGTCACAGCGGATGAACAGAAAATTTTATTCAAAATTCGTTGTGATTACTAATTATAATTACAATAATATTGCCAGAACAGATTTTTATATATGAGTATGACTGTATAGCTATTGATCAACTTGTATATTTATTTGATACGATAAAAATGTCAATATTGATAGCAATGACAAAGTTTTATTTGAAGACGTTATAAAATATTCCAGTAGAAATTTTATTATTATTATATCTAAGAAATTTTATCATATATGACTTGAGAAAAAATTAAAACCAATTGTCGTATATATATCTTTGGGGTATCTAATTAGCACACGAACACCTCGAGGACCAACTTTGCAATAAAAAAATTAATAAAAATTTTTATTTATTTAATGAATTATAATAATATATTTACTTTGCGACCAAACGCCCCGCTCAGTTAGATCAATACCACCGTCTCCGGAATGCCTATAAATTAAAAAAAAAATAAAAAAAAAATAAGTATTTGTGTCATCATCGTCAAGAAGCAAAATGAACGTTCATGGCAAACCGTTCACCATATTTACCTGACTGACAACTTTCACAAGCTACGGCCACGATATGCTTTCAATTTAAATCCTAGTGACAGCGTAACTTCAGATATACGACAACCAAACAACTACCTATTGGTGAGAATTACTCGCTCGGTTCTACCAAGGCCTAATGCAACTCGAATTTTTTTCTTTTAAGAACAGAAATTTGATCGTTGCGACAAGCCAAATTCGAATATTTACTTCATGGTACATACATTTATTTTCCTTTGTGAGATAAACTCTTGACGTAAATAGCTTTGCGTTATCTGACTTGGTAGGAAAACTTTTAAAAAGGACGGTATATCGAAGTTATAGATATTTATCGTTTTTTATTTGATTCATTTGTGGAACACAAATCCAAAAAGGAAATTTCTGTATATCTCACCTTTATAAATTAAACAAGTTTTAATACCTACCACTATTTGGTGAATTCTTTCTGTTGCTTCTTGCTTAAATTCAACTTCCTCTTCTTCACTTACTTCTCCTAGATTTTTAATTCAGTAATTTCTTGTTCTTTATTGGATAATTGCTTTTTCAATGTTTAATTTCGTTGATTAGTTCTTGATTTGCTTGTTGTTGTTCTTTTAAGATGTTTAACATGGTTTTTTTGATGGTTCCTTTTTTATTTATTCTTTTAATATATTTATATCCTTAGGACAAACATAACAGCCTGGTGGTTTGATTGGCATAGTGGTGTAGCCTTGGTTTCCATGCAATTTTTTTTTTATTATATAATTAATTCTGAACCATTTTATTTTACAGCTTTCTCCTTGATGCCAGTGATCACAATAGGAGTGGGCAGAATCAAACTGCCATCTTTATACTTGTGAGTTACATGCTCTCATTGAGCTACACTCCTTTAACCTAGGGTAGGAGGTTATATGGGCAAAAGCCCCATTTAGAAAAATAACAAATTAAGTTGATTAAATAAGATTAAAGAGACAGAAATTTATGGGAATGATTAATTTATAACATAACGGGTCTGATTCATTTCGTCAACACCTATTCATCAAAAGTTTGTTTCATCAAAAGTTCATTTCGTCAAATGTTCATTTCATCGAAAATTATTTCGTCACAAAAAAAAAAAAACTTCATTAAACAAATTTCTCCTCACACTTCCCACACACTCTGCTTTCCTCACCTAATTTCTTAACTAACTTCCTACACTCCTCACATCTAACTCATTCAGTCTCTGGCTTGAGGATGCAATAATTTTTGACAAAATGAACATTTGACAAAATGAACATTCAATGAAACAAACTTTTGATGAAATGAACATTCAACAAAATGTACTTTTGACAAAATGTACTTTCAATGAAACAAACTTTCAACAAAATGGGTGTCAACAAAATGGGTGTCAACAAAATGGGTGTCAACAAAATGGGTGTCAACAAAATGACTGTTGACAAAGTAAACACAACCAAAAAAAAAAAAATGAAACCATTGATTTGAAAAGGTAAGAGACAAACAATACTGCAATTATGTATGTATGATAACAATGATTATTAAAAATTACATTTATTTTTTTGTCAAAAATTATTATTCTTTATTTAGTGTGCATATTTGACATCCAAATTTCAAAATGAAAAAAAAAATCCAAAAAAGTTATTATATGATATCATTACTCAAGACATTTAAACTATAGTATATAGCCAGATACATAAAAATAAGTAACAGGATTTAACTTATTCAAGTAAGTCATCTGGTATAGCTAAATCAATTTGTTTAAAATCTACAAATATTTATCACAAGAGTGAATATTAATAAATATTGTTAATTTAATAAAATGAAAATAGTCAATGATTGAAGATTAATAATTACCATTATTATTACCAATAATTGTTACTTTATTGGAATTCACAGGTTGGGGAAGGTTTGTAAAATTTAATAACCTGCTAGTATAAACAGCATTTGGATGAATTACTGCAGTAATTGTTGAAGGATCAAATTTTATTTTATCCATTTTCTCAAATTCTTTATCAATTGATATGTTATGACTAAAACACCAATCATGAATAATCTTATGAATTTCTTCAGCAGTTGGACGTTTATCTGGATTAGCATTCATGCATTTGAATGCTAGTTCAATATAAAATGTTGGTGTATTGTTTGAGAAACCAGGTCTTGCACCTTTACATATATTCATTGCAAGATATTCGTCATGTGCCAAATTATTAAATGGTTGTTGGCCAGTTGATACTACAGACATCAAAACTCCAAAACTGTATACATCTGATGCTTTTGTATATGGTTTCTTTTTTAAAACTTCTGGTGCAATATATGGTAGTACTCCACATATATCATTTTTGCTTGATGATGATGTTTGACTAAATGTGCATGATAATCCTAAGTCTGCAATATATGAAGACTTTTTGTTTTCTTGAAGGATATTACCACTATGAAAATTATGATGAATAATTTCTTTTTCATGAATAACTTTTAAACTAGAAATAATTTGTTCAAGGATAATAATTTTGTTGACCCATTTTAAATTTTTAAAATCTTTTGTTAAATAATTTTGAAGATTTCCATTTCTCTCATAATCCATTACAATAATATGTTCTTTTGTAATTGGATCTTGTGTTAAACCATAAATATGAATTATGATAAATTTATCACGAAACTTCATATAATTTTTGAGCTAAATAATAAATAAAATATTTAATTACAACAATAATAATCAATAATATTTAAAATCTGAAATAAATAGAAAATAAAATAATTTACCGTGTTAAGAAATTCATCAGAAATATTCTGTGAATAATGTAGTTTTTTTAGTGCTACAGTCCTATCTTTGCTAGTCCTTTCATTAAAATAATTTACACGTTTCTGACCATTTAACCAAGTAGCTTTGGATATAGTTGCAAACCCACCTTCACCTATCTTTTCAATATTTGTTAAATTATTATAATGAATCCATTGAAGATAACAATCATTCCAATACTCAGTTGCTTTAAGTTGTGTACTTTTAATAAACTCATCTAATGTTTCATTGCCACTAGTCCACCCTTCAGTTAATGGTTTTGGATCACATGATTGACACCATGCATAATTAGTATTATATCTATTGCATGTTGGGCATTCCCCATACTTTTCATCTCTTTTTTTTGAATATTCATCATTTTGAAGATTTTCATCTACCATGTAATGCATTACAGAGATATATTCTTTTGTAATTGGATCTTGTGTTAACCCATAAATATAAACTTTATCACAAAATTTTGTATAATATTCAAGCTAAAATAACAAAATAAAATATTTAATTACAACAATGATAATCAATGATATTTTTGTATTAATATAATAATTTACCTCATTAAGAAATTCATCAGAAATATTCTGTGAATTACGTAGTTTTTTTAATGCTACAGGCATATCCTTGCTAATTCTTTCATTATCATAATTTACACTTTTATAACCATTTAACCAAGTAGCTTTGGATATAGTTGCAAACCCACCTTCACCTATCTTTTCAATATTTGTTAAATCATTAT